AGGAAGGCATTCCGGCAAATGAGAGAACGGCGAAGGGAAGGCATCATTAAAAAGGCCTATGAGTATAGCAAGTTATGCGAAGCGGATATTTGTCTAGGCATCCGATTGAGGGGTTCTGGTCGGGTGTACACCTTCTTAGCTGATCCGAGTGGGTTTTGGTCCTCCTTTGAGTCACAATTGGTAGGATTCCTTTCCAGTGGGCAGTGCAAGACACTAATCCCCTACAGGAAAAGTACTATCCTACGCCGATTCGGAAAACAACCGAGGACATTCTACGATCGCGTCATACCCAGCACGGCCGCCAAGAGTCGGAGACATCTGAAGGCAACATCGAATCTACATAGACTATGTATATGATTCAGGTATCAGTCCACATGTGTGACTGTACTTACTTCGGAGCGGGACTGTACCTACGAGCGAACTGTACGAAGGGAAGGAAGTCACTGTATCTGTGAGCACTGATTCTCGGATTCGTTGTCGGATTTCGAGAACGACTTGCCGAAGGTTGTTGGGCAAGATGCCGACACGCGACGCGCGCGCGGGACGGGCCGAAACACGAACCCCTGAACCCCCCGACCGCGACGAACGCGAAGAATCACCACCACGGCTACGACCCAAACGAGTCACCAGACCACCAAATAACTATGCCCGGGAACAGGAAGAGGAAGCTACAAGATATGCGTTGGGCAGTCAAACTGAACGCCGAGGGAGAGGCAGACCAAAGACCCGCAATGAAACCGCAGCAGAGCGCGTTGACAGCTCAGAGGACGAAACAGAAACCAGCAACGGCAACCCGCAAACGACTGAACTGCTCGCAGAGTTAGTCAAGTTACGAAGAGAAATCAAGAGAAGGGATGAGACCCATAGAGAAGAATTAAGGGAAGTCAAAACTCAGTTCACGGAAGCTCTTTCTGGAATGCAACAGGAACTAGCGGAGCTACGTAATGAGTTGGCTACATCCCAGACCAACCATGACGAGACACTTCGCGAAATTCAATCCCTACGTACCTCTATAACCACCCCAGACCCTACGAACAACCTGTCCTACGCAGATGTCGCCCGCACTCCTCCAACGAGCCAGCCAAGCAACATACGGACTCTTTCCTCGTTTAACACGACCCCAACCACCTTCACCGATACGTTATATTGCACGATAGATACCTCGAATGTGACCGATGGTGGTAGCGAGCGAATGTCCGCCGGCCCAATTAGGGCAGCAGTGGAGAAAGAGATCCGGATAATGGAAAACCACACTAACTGGCGCTGTCGCGCGGTTACGGTGGACCCAAAGAACACCAACCGGATCCGAATTGCGTGCCGGGATGAACCCGAACACCAGCTAGTTAAGAAAATCGCAGAAGCAATAATTGGTGCAGGAGCCCGAGTGCTCCGCGACGAACTCTACCCAATCAAAGTTGACAGTGTCAAGAAAGCAGCCGTGCTAGATGAACAAGGCGAGATCAGGGCAGAAGCCGCGGCAGCCTTCAGCGAGGAGAATGAAACCACCGTTGCCAAGATTGCATGGCTCAGCAGAAAGGAAAGTGCGAAGGCCTATGGGTCAATGGTGGTGTACCTAACCAAAGGCACCGATGCACGAAGACTCCTGGCCGAGGGGTTCTTCCACGCTGGGGGAGAATCTGGCGTAACCAGCGCCTTTGAACATCGTCCTCGACCTACACAATGCTATAACTGCCAAGAGATTGGACATAAGGCATTCCAATGCAATAATACCCAGAAGTGCGCGAAATGCGCCAAGGAAGGCCACCGCCACAGCAACTGCAATGAGACGGTCCTCAAGTGCGTTCCGTGCGGAGGCCCACATGAATCGTACAGTAGAAACTGTCGGAAGCTCTATCCAGTGCAACATGAATAAAACGCTCCGAATAATTCAGCTAAATGTAAGGAAACAGGGCGCAGTGCATGACAGCTTAATGAACGACGAAGAAATTCAGGACGCAGTGGCAATGGCAATCCAAGAACCCCAAGCGAGAAGAATTAACGGCCGACTCTTGACAACTCCGATGGGACATCAAAGATGGACGAAGATGGTCCCCTCCGCATGGAGGGAAGGGAGATGGGCAATCCGGAGCATGCTGTGGGTGAGAAAGGACGTGGAAGCAGAGCAAGTACCAATTAAATCCCCGGATCTGACAGCGGCGGTCATCCGGCTCCCCGAGCGAGTGATTTTTATGGCATCAGTCTATGTGGAAGGGGGAGATGCCCAAGCCTTGCGTGACACGTGCGTTAGTCTACGCGAGGCAATTACCAAGGTAAGGCGAGATACGGGCGCAGTGGTGGAGGTTGCAATCGTGGGAGACTTCAACCGACATGACCAACTTTGGGGTGGAGACGACGTGCCTCTGGAGAGACAGGGCGAAGCGGATCCAATCATTGACTTTATGAGTGAATTTGCTCTTAGCAGTCTACTAAAACGAGGCACAAAGACATGGCAGGGGGGAGGACACGGTGGAGACTGCGAGTCAACTATTGACCTCGTCCTTGCCTCGGAGAATCTGACGGGTTCCATGGTGAAGTGTGCAATACATGGGACGGAGCACGGCTCCGACCACCGCGCAATCGAGACTGTGTTTGACGTTCCGGTTCCGGTTGCCAAACAGCAGGAGCGACTGCTGCTCAAAAACGCGCCTTGGAAGGAGATTAATGCCAGAATTACCACAAGCCTGGACAGCACGCCGTCGGACGGCACTGTGCAGCAGAGAACCGACCGACTAATGTCTGCGGTGTTGGAGGCAGTGCATGCCTTGACGCCAAAGGCCAGACCGTCCCCGTACGCAAAGAGATGGTGGACAACGGACTTGACACAACTCCGCTATATCTACACATACTGGAGAAATCACGCCCGATCGGAGCGACGGGCAGGGCAAATCGCATCACACCTAGAAGAGACAGCTAAAAGTGCTGCGAAGCAATACCACGATGCCATCCGGCAACAAAAGAAAAAGTACTGGAAGGAGTTCCTGGCAGACAACAGCAACATATGGAAGGCCGCCAAATACCTAAAGTCTGGAGATGACACAGCATTTGGGAAGGTACCACAGCTCGTCCGAGCAGATGGAACCACCACCACCGATCACAAGGAACAAGCAGAGGAGCTTCTGGCTAAATTCTTTCCTCCTCTACCAGACGATATTGAGGAGGAAGGGGCCAGACCGCAACGAGCGCCAGTCGAGATGCCTGCCATCACCATGGAGGAAGTAGAGCGGCAGCTGCTCGCAGCAAAATCATGGAAGGCACCTGGAGAAGACGGCCTACCGGCGATAGTTTGGAAGATGACCTGGCCCGCGGTTAAACACAGGGTTCTTGACCTGTTCCAGGCATCGCTGGAAGAGGGCACGCTACCAAGTCAATGGAGACATGCAAAAATCATACCACTTAAAAAGCCGAATAAAGAGGACTACACCATCGCGAAAGCCTGGAGGCCAATTTCACTTCTCGCGACACTGGGCAAGATCCTGGAGTCGGTGGTGGCAGAAAGGATCTCACACGCAGTGGAGACATACGGCCTGCTCCCAACCACTCACTTTGGAGCCCGAAAACAGCGATCAGCGGAACAGGCGCTCCTGCTCCTGCAGGAGCAAATCTACACGGCCTGGCGTGGCCGTCGGGTCCTGAGCTTGATCAGCTTCGATGTCAAAGGAGCCTACAATGGGGTTTGCAAAGAATGACTACTTCAGAGGATGAAAGCTCGAGGCATACCAGAAAGTCTGATCCGGTGGTTCGAGGCCTTCTGCTCGGAACGAACAGCGACCATCCAAATCAATGGGCAAGGGTCCGAGGTACAAAGCCTCCCACAGGCAGGACTACCGCAGGGCTCTCCCCTATCGCCGATCCTGTTCCTTTTCTTTAACGCAGACCTCGTGCAACGACAGATCGACAGCCGCGGCGGAGCGATTGCTTTCGTGGATGACTTCACCGCGTGGGTGACCGGGCCAACTGCGCAGAGCAACCGGGAAGGTATTAAGGCAATTATTAATGAAGCTCTTGACTGGGAGAGGAGGAGTGGAGCGACGTTCGAAGCGGACAAAACTGCCATCATACACTTCACCCCCAAAGCACACAAATCAGAACAGGAGCCTTTCACCATCAAGGGACAAACCGTTGAACCCAAAGACCACGTCAAGATCCTTGGAGTGCTGATGGATACTAGACTTAAATACAAGGCACACATAGCCAGGGCAGCGTCCAAGGGCCTAGAAGCAGCAATGGAGCTCAAACGACTCAAAGGCTTATCTCCCTCAACAGCGCGGCAGTTGTTCACGTCAACTGTTGCCCCAGTGGTGGACTATGCCTCTAATGTCTGGATGCACGCCTTTAAAGATAAGGCCAGCGGGCCCATTAACCGGGTTCAACGGGTTGGAGCTCAAGCGATAGTGGGAACGTTCCTCACCGTCGCAACCAGTGTGGCGGAAGCAGAGGCTCACATTGCCTCGGCGCAAAGCCGGTTCTGGAAACGGGCAGTGAAGATGTGGACGGACATCCACACCCTACCAGAAACCAACCCACTCCGCAGAAATACGGATCGTATCAGGAAATTCCGAAGATTCCACCGCTCGCCGTTATACCAGGTGGCAGATGTGCTGAAAAACATCGAGATGGAAACACTGGAAACCATCAATCCATTCACATTAGCACCATGGGAGGAACGACTGCAGACCGATATTGGAGGAACCTCAGAGTCACCAGCAGAAGCCGGCGGATCTATGCAGATCGCAGTCAGCAGCTCGGCACGGAATGAGGTAGTGGGATTTGGCGGAGTGATTCAAAAGCAGCCGCCCAAGTACAAGAAGCCAAGACTAAAGACCTTCTCCATCACACTTGGCGCAAGATCGGAGCAGAACCCATACTCGGGAGAGCTGGCAGCAATGGCACACGCATTGAAGACGCTACCAGTACTGAAACTGTACAGAATCACGCTGCTAACGAGTAACAAAGCGGCCGCACTCACACTGGGGAACCCGCGACAACAGTCGGGCCAGGAGCACGTTTGCCTGATATACAAGCTAATCAGAAGACTGCGGAAAAATGGAAACAGGATCACAATCCGCTGGGTCGCCACAAGTGAGGATAACAAACTGTTAGGCCTCGCTAAAGTGCAAGCCAGAGCGGCGACCCAAGAGGACCCCATGCCATACATACAGCTCTCCAGGATGAAGTCAACCACTCTCAACATCGCACGATCCCAACAAGACACCAGCAAAGGCCTGCCCGAGAAAGTAGGCAGACACGTGAAAAGGGTCGACGCGGCCCTCCCAGGCAAGCACACTCGACAGCTATATGATCGATTACCATGGAAAGAAGCGAGCGTGCTGGCCCAGCTCCGGACGGGCATGGCAAGATTAAACGGATACCTCTACCGAATCAACGTTGCGGAAACCGATCAGTGTGAATGTGGACAAGCAAGAGAGACGGTAGAGCACTTTCTCTTTCGATGTCGGAGATGGACGACACATCGGACAGAAATGCTGCAATGCACCAACACACACCGAGGCAACATATCCTTCTATTTGGGCGGGAAGTCGCCCTCAGATACTCAAAACTGGAGTCCAAACTTAGAAGCGGTACGGGCGTCAATACGGTTTGCAATCGCCACCAGCCGACTCGACGCCGCTTAACCTTATAGTCGAACACAAATCACCCACTCCTCCCAACCTAACTCACACCAACCACCTCGTGGCAGACACGGTAGGCGCGCTTCAACTGCCGAAGATGGGATGTTGAACACTTGGAGAAGCGCCTTCAAGACAGCCTACTAACAAAACTACTAACCCACGAGAATCTCCTACGATCCTGATAGACGGCATGACATATGTTAAAGGTTAAATTGTATGGGCTAGAAGGAGACATGGCACCTGATAGGAAATGTACTAGTATATTAGTGATAGTTGCCCTTTCGGCTCAGCCGCCGGGCGTTAATAAATTGTTTGTTTGTTTGTATATGATTCAGAGGGATAAAACATGGCCCGAGTCTGATGATAGGATAAGATCCAATAGCTATCCACACGAATTGGAACGGTGATTGAATGGCTGAATGTCTGAATTCATATGGAACCTCTTTTGCTACTCCCATGTGGAGAAAGGGGTAGTTTTTGTCCAATAGTTGTTAGAGTGCGGTAAAGGCTATGATTGGCTGGAGTGGCCTCTGAGATGTGAAGCCTTCAGTAGGTCATTATTCGGCCAATCAATTTGATGGAGTAGGAGAAGTGCTCTTAACATAACTTGTATACCAAGACTTCTATCCACCTTGAACTAAATGGCAGCTCATAGAGGCCTGCAGAAGCGGAGTTACCGAGTATAAGCCTATTGCTCCCGAGAACTAACGCCATGGTTCCAGGGGCCTTAGTGTTTCCTCGAACAACCATTGTGTTCCTAGGATCGAGGATATCACTTCTTGAGAATGGTCTGATAGATCCCAAGAGTCCCAATGTTCATAAGCTAATAACTTTTGCACCCAGGAACCCACCCTATATTTAGCATGTCTACAAACGGGGAAAGCTCTCCTGCAGTGATATCCCGCGGAATACTAACACTTAATTCTACAACTCGCACATAATACTGACAGGGGTATTCCTCTATCCTTATCAAGTAAGCTGGTAGAATGTAGCAGGTCCCCCTCTCCCAATCTCTCCTCTCTGTTCCCAAATGAGGTGTCAAAGTACATTGAGTTTGAACTTCCCCTCACATCGCGATTAGAGAGACTGAATATTGAGCTCGTAAAGCGAGGACCTGTGAATTCCCGCTTCCGGTTAGTTTGGCCGTTTCCGGGATAGCCGCCCCGTACGCCGTATTGTCATCACCGCCCGCCCGGCCCCTCTTGAGTATATAAGAACCCTCCTCGCTGTTCTGCCTGTCTCTCCTTCATTTTCCCTCATTCTCCCTCCCATATTCTGCACCCGCCCGGTCGTGACCCGTCGTCTCACCTACTCCAAGGACGCCCACCTGCTTCGCCCCCTTTTCTCCCTTCGGAAAATGCGGCTGCGCCCTGTTTCTCGTCACCTCCGGTCCCAGATTCTTCTCCCGTTAGCTTGAACGGGCTTGTTAGCTGAACTTTTTTTTTGGCTCTCTCTTGATCTACCTTATCCGGCGAAATGATTTATATCCTTTCCTCATCCAGCTGCCACTGCCGGAGTGTTGATTTAGTTTGCTCATGTTGCCTATCGGCCTCCTATGGTATCTACCTCTCCAACTTTCTTTGTCCAAGAAAGCGTCTGACCTCCAAACCTGCAACAGGCGCCAACCATGGCTGATTGCGTGTTACGCCTGATGCCTGCCCCACCTTCCGTCCTTTTCCGGCCGTCGCCCGCCCTGCGCCTCCGTTCTCGGCCCCCATTCCCCTCCCAGTCGTGCTGATCTCGCGCGTTTGGACCACGAATGGATTGCCCGGCTGGAGATGAGGAAGTGCCTTGGACGAGTATGTCCAATAGCATAAATGCCTCATCTACAGCCCCGCTGGCTGTTGTTGCCTGTCATCGCCGTCGACCACATTCTTCTGGAGTCTTTGTTCGCCCGAATCGTGGCCGATTGGTGCTCGATCATCCGGCATGTTGCACCCCGTGATAGACGTCTGTGGAAAACATGACGGTGCAAGTACGGCTATTTGCTGTTGCAGTGTTGCCTGTGGAATGTCGTCGAGCTCCGAGGGTAGCATGTGCTCCGCTGAATCTGCGCCGTTCCTCCAGCATTTACTCTTTCTGGATAATACCCCAATCAGTTCCTTGGAATGGCCCCTTTGCACTATACAGCGTGCCATTCCAAGGCCCTAGGCGTACATACGAGCAGGGAGTGCAGGATCAACCTTAGCAGCGTCGGTTCGGCTTTCGGGGATGTTCTCCTTTTCGCCAGAGAATAAAGACCAGTCGCTTGATTCACGGGTTATAAATACCCTCGCCCGCCTTAAATTGAAAGCAACGCAGACACCTTCACCCGTTCCTTTGACACCATAGTTTGCTTCCCAATTTGCCTATCTCCCAGGATGGATCGCCAAGTTTCTTACAATGGCCCTCTGTCTTGCTCTCCCTTGCCCTGCACTTTCCCGGCTTCACGCCCATCGATCCCGATGAACCATCCATTACCCCCGAAGCCTCCTATTTCCATGTACTTCCATGTCTACACTCCTACCCGCAAGCCTGCAACCATACTACGCGACACGGCAGCGCAGCACGTTAGCCATGGCAAACCCATTCCTGTGAACAACGATCGAGAAAGGCCCTCTACGCACAATCACACAACTGCGTCTTCCGTTGGGTTGCTCAGCGGCCCTCGCAAAGACAGCGTTATCTTTCCATCCAGTGAAGGTTCGTATAGTCCACCACGTCTTGCTGCCCGAGGCACCTGCTTATCAGTAATCTTATCAATCCAGATACGATCATCGGGCTTGAAATCGACCATGACAAGGCTAGCATTATCGACGACGACGATAACGGCGATAACTTCGAACCACCCCATCCCGATGAATTACTCTCATGGATACGGAACAACAGCGAGGGGGGGAGCTGTGAAGCTTCAGTGGCCCTCCGAAGTATGGATAACAGGTCTGGCCTCGACGGAACAAGTTCAACTACATCCCAACTGCCTGGGATCGGCCTGTCCTGCGAAGGACACCCCGGTGATGCCGATGATGGCCGGAATGATAAGATTAGCCCTAAGAAGCATCTTTCAGATGGATGCAAGGGTGTCTTGTCCGATACTTTGGGACCGAAGGGCTTGATCGCTTCCCGCCAGTTGGTTGAAGAACCACATATTCCTCTTTCTGGATGCAGCGGCCAGCCTATGACCGAGATCACCTTGTGTAGCCCATGTGGAACCTCTCGGTCAGGGCGTCGCAGTCGAAAGAAGCCCATGCGCACCATATTGGGACACACTGAACTTGCCGCAGGCAGGGGCCCTCGAACAAGGGCAAGGACAAGGGTAGAAGCATCTTTTTCGCTCCCAAGCCGCCAACAGGCCCGCCCTTATTCAAATTCCGAAGACAAGCTCCTCCGTGAACTGATGCACAGAAAGCTTTCATGGGAAGAGATTGAGGTGGAATTCGGTCGGATGTTTGCTGGAAGGGATAGGAAATCACTTCAAGGGCGGTGGTCGAGATATCTGAAGTTTGTAACCCCCTCAGCCAAGTGCTTGAGAACCAGATGGGCGAGGAATGGTGCGGCTTGATGGATCCCTGCCAATCACAAGCCAATCAGAGGGTGTAGATATACAAGGTTGAATGGCGAGTTTGAGCAGAATGATCTTGTATCTACACCAGTGGGTTCTGATGTGTCGATAATAGAATTGTCAAATTCGCATACAACTTACCTTCGTTTGGTCTCGCATCCTATGGGAATGTGGTCAAGTGTCGCGGCATACTGAAGTCGCGCTTTAATTTCAACTTCATATACCGTTGGAAATCTCCAGGGGCAGACTTTTTAAAGACGCAGAGGCGATAATGAAACGGATCGACGACCTTTGGATTCCTAGCAAGCCCCGTTCGCAACTTAAGATTTGTGTAGTTGCACAAGCAGTCAACTCTTAGTGATGCCCAGAGACAACTGGACCTTTCGCGACGAAGGCCTTATGCAAATGAGGCTCTCTGGGTCAGAGTGGAAGACACAGGGAATGTGGATGCCGCGGAAAGCATCAGGAGTGCACTTGGAGTACATACAAAAACTAAAGCATGAGCCCACTAGCTATGGCCACAGGAGTGCAGAAATTGATTGGAAGATATATTGAACTAGAATTCCTAGATATACATCAGATTCCGCATATAGTCCTTAACTCAACTGTCCTCACTTTCAAGGTCAAATGGCCAGATTGACCTCAGTGTCATTTCATCTCTTACCGGCTCATCATTGTCTGAATCTGGGTTCGTCAAAACAGCCTGCAACATTCCTTCAAAGAGTTCACTCTGGGCTGATTGTGCCGCTTCCCAACCATCTGGCGGTACCCATCCGTCTGAGGCTGTATTTAGGAGTCTTGACAAATCGGTTCGCAGATTCTGTGCCGCCTCGAAAAGCCTGTATTCTTTCTCGTGTTTCTCATGTTCTTCTCGCGTGGGTAAAGGGTAAGGACATTGACCTTCAAATCCTAGCTCGTTCCAATGCCTCGCAGTCTCAATCATCTCGTGACGTAAGGCCACTGCTCCATCTTTCCATGTTCTATTACAGTAACGGAATGGGCGAAAAATGTTGTCATTCATCAGCCTTGGGCCTGCAAGTTTTGGTGTGAGAAACTGTGAAGAGAGATCAAAAGCTTTGGCGCATATCTCACTTCCTTCTGCGAAGTCCGGGACCTCGTCCGAGTACCAAAACGCCGGCTCGATACTAGCTGCTTGCCAATCAATAATGCTAGTGATAATAGAAGGATTGTCATCCGAAACAAATATATTCCTCGTATGCAGGTCCGGGTGGAACAATAAGGGTGGGGCGGAATTTCTGACGCGATTACTCGCGGCCATTTGCTTCAGCACAGGACGGGTTCGCTTGAGAAGAGCTTATTGTGTTTCAGGCGATCCATGATAGATTGGTCGTTCGGGTTTGGTATCCACTGGAGGAACTTGTGACATACCAGCGTCAACAAGGCCATCACAATAGTCGCCAATAGTCAACCCTAATAAATTCTGATGGTAAGCACAATTGCCCAGTAGCGGGAGCGTCGACGCAACTTACATGGGCCAATGTTTCTATTAGCATCATGATAATATCTCCTTTCGCCCACATTAGTACCCCAGTATCTAGTACCGCAGTGAGGTCCAACACAAAAGCCATCACCTAGGGGTTGTTTGCTAACAGATTCGAGAGAATCGTCGAAGTATATGCTCCCAAAAGCTGGGAATTCCAACTCGGCGATATCCTTTAGTGTCCGGTAGATTGCATCTATGCACCTGACCTGCTGATCGCCAGCCATTTTATGCCATTTCTCGTGCAGAGGAACGCCTCTTGCATGTTCCATGATAATATATTCGCTGCCGATAATATTTGTTTCATCACTAGCGTCGCAATTGTAATCAAGAATTCTCGGTACGGGGATATTCGTCTTCGTTTGTACTAGACCAATGGTGTGTCAGCGTTTGAGTAAGTGGTAAAGAAATGATAAATAATCGCGATAATCTTACAGTAGCGAATTGTAGCAACCTCAGAAATAGTGGTCAGTTTCGCTGGTCCTGCCAATCGAAACGGGAGCCTCGCCACGATATTCTTCTCGTTATCCAAGGTAAAGATAAAAACTCTGTTGAAGCCCCCTTCAATTTTTCGACAAGCCTTTATTTCACTTGCTTCGGGGCATAGCTCAATAACCTTCTGGCAAAGAGCAACAAAGCTGAATTTGATGGAGCGCGAATCAGTTTCCAGTTTATCACGCCGCAACCACCGACCGCTCGTGTAGGTATAGGGTCTGATTTCTAGAGTTATATTAGCATGAATAATCAAGGTACGACGACAGCAGATGGCTCACCCAGTTCTAACTCGGTATTCATCGCACTCGCTGTACAAATTGTTGCGCCGCTGGCTGACTGGAGACGAGAGGTTGAAGTGGACGGGAAAAGGGGTAGAGATAAAGGGCAGCCAGGTCGACTTCTTAGCGCCCAAAACAAAGAATTCCTCAAAGTTGGGAGCATCTGGTTCAATATTAGAAGACATTTGTCAAGAAATTTAACTGGGGGCGGTAGAAAAGAAAGATCTCCTCCAGCTTCTTCCACGGTTAAAAAGCAACCGTGTTCCAGGGCGGTGTCAGGTCACCGCGAACGTCATAAAATGCAGCTCCACACATTACGGATAGTCACTTTACTATTGGAGGGTTTCTGTAACAACTACGTGCTTGATTGTCTAATAATAGATAGATTTGATACGGTTTCCCCGTTAGTGCGCATTGGGGACAAGATATCTAGCACAACTCCTCCACATAATTGCAACAGGGTTGATCTATGCCATAATCAAAGGACCTCCGCATGAGTTAGCTGCATGATATAACTAATATGCTCAGATGTTTGTGCCAACCTTATCACGCTCATCCGAGGTTCTTCTTGCCTTTCTCTTCAAGATCACGTAGTACCCTCTCGTACTCTGCTTGTTTGTCCTCAGCAGCGGTATCGAATACCGAGGTTGCGAGCTTTGCGTGTGTTGTGTTTTTCTTGACCCAGTCCTTCAGGACAGGACTTTTGGCCTGCGAATTAACTTGTAAAACGACATTCAATTTCTTTGAGCCTGGGTCGTAATGGCCGGCATCGATGCGGAGCTGAAAATCGGCGTCCTTGGTTCTGGAAGGAACAAGGCGGCTGCCTTCCACCGCGGCGCTAGAAAATTTGGAGGGTGCATTCTTGATAGACTGCGCTTTTTGAACAAACGATCCCAAGACCTTCGACATTCCGAAATGAAAAATGAGGACTGGACGGCAGTTCAAGGACAGTGTTAAATGAAAAGTGAAAGTGCGGGCCGAGATGAAGGCAGTCTAAGGCTGTGAGATGCAAGTGAGTGGGCAATTAAGTAGGAAGGTTCTCAAGCCCTCGACAGCTCTTGAGATATCTTATATATGCCAGGTTCAGTTTGCTTCAACTTCTAACGTTCAATCTTTGTGATTCAGCCTTGCCGTAGTTTTCCAACCGCTGAAGTGGGGTTGTGCTTGGACCTCAAAATGCCCCAGCACAATGAGGCTGAGATTTTTTTTTTGGTGGCGGCTACTCTTGAACCAATATTAGAGCACTCAGCTTACTTCCCCCTTTTGGTGGCTTTTTCATATCAGCAAAATCATCCAAGCAGGGGGAGGCTTTGGCGAGGCGAGCCATTGCTGCCTGTGCTTTTGCAGGGATGAGTTTCATGCTCGCAGTTTTTCCCTATCTGACTGGTTCCGACAGCTCCAAATTGCCCCTGTCCCTCACGCACGGTTAGCAAGCTTGTGGTTCACAGCTTGCGTTAATGCATGATTTTGAGTCTGTCACACCACTGTTTTTCTTCGAGGAGTCTCTGGCTTCTCAAGATGTAAGAATCGTCCAAGTTTAGTCTGGTGATCGGCAAGACAGAAGCACAGTGAGGCTCGAAGTTGCCTGGACGGCCAATGAACAAAATCGCTGGCTCTCCACACTACCTGGTATTCGCTAGAACCAGAGCTACTCACTCCACTCTCAATCCGGGTCAAACCGAAGACTGCATTGTGCCGAAATAATGGCAAGAAGGTTCAGCGGCTTCGACCAACGGTAGGGCCGGACAGCCTTGGAGATCAAAGCTTCTGCCTATGGGCTGGAGTTTCTCGATACCAGCCAAAATGGGGGCTGTGCTCAGACTCCGCAATATCCCAGCATGGAAAAAGGGACCCCACCTTTTTTCCGCACTGATACTCCGCTTCGAGAGTGCACCCGGCATGGTTAGAGTGGCGTCTGTCTTTGCCAGATGCTGCGGAATTTTGGCGAGACAAACCATTGCGGCCTGTGCTTTTGCAGCATCCTGCAGCGAAATACACTTTCAGATCGAGAACAAGGTCCGTGCATGTGGGCGCAATGTGTAGCTTAGCTAGGTCGCACTGTGCGAGATACGGTCGAGCAAAGACCTACCAGATTATGCTTCTCACCTTCAATGGGAAGTTCAGATCCCCGCGTCCAACACAGCGTTGGAAGTCAAAGCATCTGATTCAGCTGAAGTGGGGTTGTGCTTGGACTATTCAAATTGCGCAATATGATTGGGAAGATATGAAGATAGAGTTGTGCCGGCGGCTAGCGATCTGATCCCAGATCGGCAAAACAGGAACAGAATTGAGACTCGTAAGCTGTCTGAGCAGCCAATGATCTGAAATATTGGTCTCCGCACCAGTCCGCACTTGTGACACAAGGTCGTCAAATTCGCAGACAATCCAAGTTCGTTTGGTCTCGCATACTGTGGTTCCGAGATCTGTGCTTGACGTTGAGGACAGCACCCCGAACAAAAATCTCCAGAACAGGCCATTGTCACAGAGAAATTTGATGCCTTCTATAATCTTGCAACGGTCAGTTACACCAAAACGGTTATATTGGCGCTCAGCACTCCCAAGACGAGATACCCCATCAGGAGATTGAGAACTTGGTTAGAAACAAATCATCGTCAAAGGTAGCGCCACTTAATCACAGCATTGTAAAGCTTAATCCTGAGCCCACAGCCAGCAGGTGAGATGCAAGAAATTTCAGCTACAAATAACCTCCAGATTTTGCTGCGTCAATCATTTTCTTTTTCACATCTTCATCAGTATCGTCCTTCTTCATAGGAAATGCGAAGAGTTTCTTGTCTGGATTTTTCTCTGCGAATCTTCTGACAGAGGTATTTGAGGCGTTCGCGTTTGCTTGCACGTTGACCGAGAAGGTGTTAGGGTCATTCGTGTACGGGGACCCTTGGTCGGCTCGAAAATTGGATGCTGCGTCGTTTTTGGTATTTCTCGACGGAAAGAGCCTTCCTCCAGCATTTTCGGCGGAGAGTTTCGATTTTGCTTTAGGTATGTTGAAATTCTGAATGAATTTCTCTAACACCTTTTTCGGAATCGACATGATATTGGAATGGACTTCCTGTAAGGTTCAGAGCCAATGCTAACAACGTCTATTAGTTGTAGACTTACGGGTTTGGGGTTTGACAATCAGATAGCAACAAGACCTGGCTGCAACAGTTCTAAAGTGCCACGGGAGGCACCTTTATAGTAAGTCTGACTGAAAATTGCCTACATCACCTGATAGCTGGGCATGGTGCGGGGTAACTCGCATGACCAGTGTATAGCATGAAGAGGACAATATTCTACAGGGTTGCACTTCAGGAAACGCCCTCTAGATATCCATCAGATTACCCGATAGGCTTGCAGGCCCCGACTCCGACAGTTTCCAAGCTCTTAGTGCGTCTTTTACGCCATCCTTGTCATCCGTGGCGTCTAGGACCGAACTCACTAGATTACGCATTGTTTCCACTTTTGCCTCGAAATCTTCAAGATGTACCCAGCCGTCAATGGGGACTCCAAGGGCACCGAAAAGCTCCCTGCGATCTTCCCAGCTCTTCCCTTCGGCAACATGAGACGCAAGCTCATCCGCACCGAATGTCACAGGACAAGAGGACTGTGGCTGGCCAGTTAATTCCATCCATTCGCGCCATGTTCGAATCATCATCTCTCGAAACAAAAACAATCCATCGTCATCCCATGTGTACCCTGAAAAATCGATGAGCTGCTGTCGCGTTAAAGCTTGAGGAAACGACAGAGCAGAGAAGACGTCATTGTTGATTTCGCAGAATTTGGAAATATAGAGCCTCTGTAGTTGTGTAAGCTGGTATCTCCGTAAATTTTCCTCTTTTTCTTGTGGCGTGAGGCCCGTGGCTGGCGGAAGGTCGAAGAGCAAGGGCCCATGAATTTTCAGGAATTTCGGTAACCTGCAGGCGTGAAAAACGGGAAGACTTGAGCAGCCCTGCCAATCAATGATGCTGACAATCTGATTTTCCTTTACAAATATATTCCCAAAGTGTAAATCAGAGTGCCAAAGCACAGACTGATTTTGACCTGGATGTGATGGTATCAAATGAGGCACAACTTCCAGATACTTGTCGAGGAGTTTAATGTGACAACCAGGAGACTCTTGGCTATCTGACTGTCTCAAGGGGTCTGCCGGATGACGAGGATTAGCAAACCGGGTAATCCATTCTTTCTCTCGCCTGGCGATATCTATCGCATACGCCTCAGACGACGACCCTAATTTTGCTCGGTCTCTTATCAGTTGGATCCCCAAAGTATGGTTAGGTGTTGGCTTACAAGGGCCCCTAAAAGCGTTCATGAATTTCCTCTCCTCTTCCCAAAATCGTATATCACAGCTGGGACCGATGCAAAACTGATCAGCTATTCCAGGGACATCAATGCCACCCTCAATATCTCCTCTATAGAACAAGCTTCCATAACCACCGAAGTCGACAGCGGCTATTTTGGCTTGAATATTGGCCAACTGAGACACAATATCCACCTTATCCGATATATCCATAGTGGGCCAACTTTTGCTCAACTCATTGCCAGCAGCTTTTTCCATGATGATGTATTCGACTCCCACAGGCTGGTCTTTCTTGCTGCTCCAAGCAAAGACTCGCGGGACAGGTATACCTAGTTCGTTACGAAGAAAGTCAAGCGTGGCAACTTCACTGGCGGTAACAAATTTCTGAGGGATGTAAGGATTGGGGATTTTCGCAACGACCTGGACGTCATTATCCATTGTCAATAGAAAGGCTTTGTTGTATGAGCCTTCGGGTAATTTCGTTATTTTGACGCAGAATTCCGCATTAACTGATCTGGCCGCTGTTTGTTTGAGTTCCTCGACATTGAAGGGCTGGTACCGTTTACGAAGCTGGGCTGCCTCGTCCCATAGCCAGCGCCCAGAGGTATAAGAAAAGAGAGTGTCGCCATATTGATCTGAGTTACCTTGAAAAGACAAATTCAGTAAAAACCAAGCAAATTTATCTTGACGAACTTACCGTGATGGGGAGGTTTGGAGGTTCTCGGGGGGTAAGCGGAAAGGAGCATGCGATGAAATCGGGGTAGTGTCGCTCTTATAACTCTTCTCAGAGTTTTCAGAGGCGCCATGGAAACGGCTTGAATAATCTATGATGATGTTATACTGTTGAGTAGGTGGTGACTGCCTCAATTATTACCCTTCGAAATATATGGATTGCTGAGACTTTTGGTCGTCCACGACACTCAATTAACCCAGCCACACCGTTGCTTACAAACCGCACCAGCCACTGCCCCTTGCTCCGAAATTTTCAGCCCGAGCATTTGAATCTCATTGGTGGCCTGTGTCAACTGACAGCCAAGACCGTTTTTCTGAAGGTAGGCATTGATACTCTCGAGGAGCGTTTCGATCAAATTCAAGTTTGCTGCTCTGCTCTTATCTAACGAGTTAACTCGGTACTCCCTCAAGGCGCGTTGCAGCTGCAGCTATCTTTGGCTCGCCTCTGGCCAGCCTTAGGCTTTCCACCATTCACCGTTCGAGATCTAAGTGTTCTGTGCTTCAGTTGCAGTTGTGGAGAAATACTGTAGCTGCGACCAGTTTGCGGGGTTAGCTATTTTTCCAATCATTTGTTGCCAATGCACATTCACGATAACTGCCTGCTAGGAGAAGTTAGATGAGATTGTAGTGAGGTGATTGATCAAGGATCTTTGCCCAAATTGTCTGAGAGCCAAAGCTAATTGGCTGTCTGGATCATCACATGCTACCCACCAAACAGGAAATAACACAAATATTGTTCCAAGACGAAAATAGATCGGAGCACATAAACAGTCAACATCCAAAATAGGAAATCCGAAAGACAACTTCTCCACTGCAATGACATCGGTGTGCTCATTTCGAAGCCTCAGCATTGACGCGTAACCCCCCTTGCACACATCATCATCAGAATTCCATACACTGCCAATATCTTCATGAATCCTTCATTATATTTGTCCATCAAGTATTCAGGATCTTGTCCTTCCAGAAACATGGCGCAATCTGTTGGAGAATAACTATTCGATGGCAAATCTGTGCCGAACGGAGCTCTGAGGCGCGAGTGCGGAATTATTCGCTCCTGAGGTGATCTCCGGCACGCTCAGCGTGATGGCTGTTACCACTACAAAGACGTAAGTTTCGATGGGCAATGAAAGTGTGGCTTTCTTTCTGGGATAGTGACTGTCTTACCCATCACAAAATGGATTTCTAGGCATAAGTCTTTTTGTCCCGCCGTAGCCATTGCACTTAGGGCAGATTGAAGAGCCAACCATGCCTTTGTCATCGCATTCAGAACACTTGGGCATGTTGTTTCAAAAGCTAGTTTAGACGTACTTGAAATGAAATCAAATCGAGGAGAATGCAGAAGACCGAAGATTTTAAAGCCTGGAAACTTTTGTACCCAACTGAGCTCCAACCTTGATACCCAATCATTAGCGCACCCGATGCCGACCGCAGGAGCCAAATAAGCGCATTCAACACCCCGCTTGATGTGACTCCCGAAACCTTCACAGATTGAACAAGATGCAAAGCCAGACTCGTTTCATTGCGGTCGACCCAAGCAAAACCTATGGGAAATACCAGAAAACAAGTCAGTTTCAGTGTCAGACCTGCTTTAAATCTTTCGACACCTATGAAGAACTGCGTGACCACATCGCGGACTTTCAGGCTAGTGGTACTACCTTTTTCATCTATCCATACTGACTAGAAACACCAGGCGGAAATCCAGCGACTGACTGCGAGATTGCTTGAAGCTCAGGCGCATCTCCCGCGTAAGCACCACAAGGATTACGAGGCGGTAAAAGGCGACAGTGATTGGGATACGGAACAGGACGATGATGGTGTCGGTGTCGGTGACGGTGACAGCGATCTCGATGGATGTGGGACCGAAGACGGGAGCGACAGCGGCGACTACGACGACGATATGACTAGTGATCGAACTACTCTCTCATCAACCCTCGATTTGCACGCCTCAATGCGATGTCCATATCCAAAATGCAATCGTACAGCGCACTTTAAGGCTAGGGCGGGCCTTCTGCGCCACTATGAGTCGCGTACGAGAGCTAACCAAGTCCTGTGAGTTCTTATGCTGATTCTCTGATTCAGATGTACGATGTCACGAAATATGTGTCTTTTGCCGTCAGATATTCAAACAGATGCGAACATTCATACGGCACAACTGCCCTGCAAGACGAAAGACCAATGATAAAGCGAAAGAATTCTACCGGAGAGAACGGTGTGCGCAGCTCAAAAGGTATTCTGCCAAACAGCTAGGGAGGATGTCCGCAAGCAGAAAAGCCCGAAATGGACATTTGAATAAACGAAAAGCTGAACAGGTTGATGACTATCTGGCCACGGGCGCCTCAAAACTCCACAAAGGAATTCCAACACAAGGAAATGACAGAATATATCTAAATAGTGCACACTTTTCTGGTAAGTCGCCTATGGGTTTGTCTTTAACTCATCGCTAATGGCAGCTGCTGCTAGTATTTCCATCTCCCCAACACGAGGCGAATTCGAATCATACGTCCTTACTTCCTTCATCCAGCTCGAACATGGCTTCGAATTCGTCGTCGAGTTTACCCAGTTTGGACCTCCCGCCGAAGATGTTCTCGGATACACAAATGGAGACAGCCTACAACGTCCTCATGCCCCAGCCGTATGCACCAATCTTTAATGACATAACGATAACGCCTTGTTACGATATAGTACAGGAGTCATATGAATTTTCCTCAGCCCTGCAGAGTGCAAATTATCGAGCTATCCCCCAACATGAGAGTGCTGATCTCCGATAAAAGCGTGCTGGACTAGTCGGGGGGCGGGTTGGCCGGACGGGCTCGTACATCATGTTTATCTTCGAAGTATTCCACGTTCATGCCGAAATTGGGCCCCTCAATCTTCCTGACAACCTCCTCAAGCGACTTGTGGAGCTTCATTGGAGCCCACCATCTCTCTAGCACATCCCTGGATGCGATTCCGAAAGTAATAGCACTCCCTTCAGAGACTTCAACAAAGAGGCGTGTGTCACGAATAGAGCTATTCACCATCAGATTCTATTCATACGGTAAATCAAACGACTTACAATCCACCGTTCTCGAACGTGACTTCCACAGGTTCAAGACCCGCGTGTCTAAGTGCCACACGAGGAGCTCTCCACAAATTATTCTCTCCCTTTGTGGTCACCACTTGCTGCAAATGTGAGGCTTTCCAATACACAACCCTTGATCCTTTTTTCCAGATATGTACTAGGAGGGATTCGGGCCCTGAGGCTGGATCGCTTTGTCGAAAGGCATAATCGCCGGGCATGGCACCGAAGGTTCGGTAGAGTCCTAAGCCAAACCACTCAAAGATAGAATCAAGAATACGTCGCTTGCGCTAGAATTGAATTAGCTTAGAAGCTAGAGACATCGTAGTACGTACTGGATCGTCAAGAACGTTGACTTTGAAGAATTCAAAGCCTCTCTTGGATGCGAAAGGGATGGAGTTCGCTTCCATCTCTTCGACCGCATTCCCGGCTTCTCCATCTTTCACAAATACAAAACCGTCCTTGAAAAAATCTCCTCCCGAGTCCTTCAGTGACGATGACTCAAAAGAAGCCATGGGATAAGAGCCGCTGTGGGATGACTGATACCGTTGTCCTGATGAGGGGCACACCAAACTCAAGAAACATAGGCGGGGTGCTCGGAAGACATTGCTTCCGGTGATCCGAAACAACCATGTGATCCGTCAATTTGCAGAAATCTACTATTCCTGATTTGGTGCGGGGCACAAAAAGCAAGATTTTCCTCATTAGGTGACCCCAACGAAATTTGACTATTGCCCAATTAGTTATAAAACACAGTTTTGTGCTTCTCCGTCTTTCCAGACTTGCTTGGCAGCGGTCCGCCAATCACTTCCTCCTTTCATTCGTGGGGACGGTAAGCTTCCGTTTACTAGGCCCAGCATCCATTGATGAGCCCTGCAATTAATCAATGTTATTGGAGAGCAATGTGATATTCGCTGCATACAGCAGAAAAGTCAAGGGTTAGTTTCAGGGTATCCGGAAAGTCCCCAAATCCAAAATGTCGGGCCTTTATGGCGGATCTCGCGGCACAATAGCACACAAATCGAGACTATCGCCATGCAGTATGTCTTTCTGCCGTCGAAAGTGTATGCTAAGAAGGGAGAAACGGGGGAATCTATGCCCAGGGTATACCACTTTCCGGCAGACATAAAAGGGTGCACACGTCTCCTCATTGATTTGTCGTTGTCGTTGTCATTGACACTCAAGCTCCCTCGATCATACCAATCTATTCAAAAGAGCAAGTTCCCGATCTCCTGCCCGCCAGATAACCAACATGGTTGCCCACGGACAAGTCCAGCCCTCCCGTTCAAAATCCCGAGTCGTTGATCAGGGCGTTGAAAAGAAAACTTTGCCCACTATTGTTGGAGAGCTAGAGCCAGTCATTACCAATTTGGTGAAAAACGCCCTGTCCAACCCAGCTACATGGCCTGGTGGGCTGCCAACCACTCCGGTCTGTGCCTTCGGACTATCCACGCCGCCGCTAGATACCGACGAACTGGAGAAGCAGTTGGTAGATGTTGCTGAGACCAGCTGTCAGTCTGAATATACCGACTTTGACTCCCCTGGCACTTTCGAGCCTGGAGAGATCAACCCCGGAAATTTCAAGGCCGAAAAGCAGCATAGTCCAATTTCTCGGTCTGAGGAGCCTGTTACAATGGGTCAGTTGAAATGCCTGCTCCAAGCTGTGCTGGAACACAAACCTCAATCGACTTCGGAGATTGCGGATAGTGATCTGGTCGACAACCAGCAGAAACAGGAAAGAGTTGGAGCCTCCATACCAGACTACAAAATCATCCTTGAAAAGTACAGTTTCCCCACTCCAAGCATCGTGTTCCAAGTTCACTGACGGGCAATTAGGTGGGAGAAACTAATCGACGAAGGGCATTGTTCAGTTGGATCAGCTGTGGCTACTGAGCCTGCCCAGCCCCCCTGTGCTCGTAAGGAACAGGAAGAGAACGTTCAGGCGGTAGATGAAATTGATCTCAAGAGTCCGATCTGCACTACCCCAGAAGATTTCAAATCGTTCGAAAAGTGGGCCTCGACACCCCAACTGAAGACGGTCGTGGAAACGTAAGCCTCAAACCCCACCTCCCATCACTTTCCAGCAACCAGCTGACGCCGATATAGCTGGGACAAAGACACGAGCAGATACAAAATCGGAGAGCCAGTGGAGACCAACAGTAGTCTGGACGACTATGCTGGATATGCATTCGTTGTTCGCGAACGTGTTGGTACGTAATATTTTTACCTGGCGAGCCGAAACAATGCTAATCGGATCACTAGAACGACATTCCAAGGAAGTCACGATTTACATAGACATCAAATCTGAAGGCCTGCGCGACATCCTGCGGGTAGTACTGCATGACATCAAAGCTATTAGCCTGATGGAGGACAAGCCATCGGTACCTAAGAAACAAGAGTATCATCTCTGAGAAGGCTGCTGACCAGGTCTAGATCGAGCGAAACATCCTTTTTCATTTTCTCCCAGAGCTTGACAAATATGCGGAGAATAACAGCGCAGACTCTGCCTTCCCACGGCAGAACCTCTGCTTGCTTATCGACCACCTCAAGCAAGCGTATTCCTCAACCACGCACCGTCTCGAGTCAATGCTGCAGCACGGTCACATTACTTATGACCTTATCTGGGCGCTTTTCAAACCGGGCTCCCATGTTTTCACGACATGCCTGGGCACACAAGAGCCTCGATGTGTTATATTTGACGCAGGGGAAGAGATAACACAAAATGACGAGACGTGGTTTAATCTCGAATGCCGATTCCTTGATTACGACGGGGTTAAGTTCGGCGAGGCTGGTATCTTTCTGCGTGTGCCAAAGTTCCGGGGGTCACAGCCGATCGAGACCCTTGAGGCCTTCCCTCTCTGCTATCATCCAAGGCACCAGCAAGTCCGAAAAGACTTGGTCGGGAGAGGCCAAAAGTTTCGGGATTTGGCCGGCTCGCACATTCGGCACTGCAATGGCAGCGCATTCTTTATGAACAAAGGAAAGGCAATCAGAGTCAACATCAATAGCCGAGTGGCAGTGGACGCCGCATTTTTCCATGATATGCAGCCAAACTACTCCCGACCGTCGCACCGCCACCTAGGGGTCAAGGACAAGAATGGAATTGCAGTTTTTGACCTGGGTGCGATGCTGATGGAGGACCGCGAGCGACAGAAGGAGAGAATGCAAGGAGACGGCATGGAGGCACAAAAGTTGTGCGAGGCCAATTTCTTGGTTGCCTGCCCAACTGTCTGCTGTTTCAGTTTCAAGGAGAAAATGTTCTGTATGTGAAAGAGGTGACAATATTTTGGCGCCCGACTAATGTGGCTCCAGTGGAATGCGCAGTCAGTGCTCTTGGGAACGTGGATTGGTCCCCTGAATCGTTCGACTGCCTGCAGATCCCTTCAGAGACCAAGACCATTCTCTTATCATTGGCGAAAACTCGCCTAGGGATGATACCGACGGTACCGTTCGACGACGTAATAGATGGAAAGGGCCAAGGATTCAACATTCTTCTAGAGTATGTCCGAAGAGCGTCTATGCTATCAAGACTTCTCAGCTAATTCGTGCAAGTGGACCACCGGGAGTCGGAAAGACTTTCACAGTTGAGGCTACCTCGGAGTATTTTAAGCTCCCGCTCTATTCGGTATGCAGTATCAAGCTCGGCTGATTTTGGCATCACTGACTTTTTCCAGATATCCGCAGGCGAACTTGTTGTCAACCACGGAGATTCCAATGCGCTTGAGCAACAACTGGAAATAATATTCAAGATCGCCAAACACTTTAATGCTGTGCTTCTTTTGGATGAGGCAGACGCGTTTATGGAGCGGCGTGAATCTTACCACGATACCCACAATTGCCTTGTGACGATTTTCCTCCGAAAGCTGGAATATTATCAAGGAATTCTCTTCTTGACGTCAAACAGGGGTATCCAGTTTGATGACGCAATTCTCAGCCGGACCCATTTGGTCATTGAATATGAGAATTTAACGAGAGAGTTTCGCAGAGATCTCTGGTCAACTTTTCTGGCCAAGGCGTGCACAATGAAAGGACCTGCCGTTGTTGAGGAGCACGAACTCCAACAATTGGAGACTTTAGCTCTGAATGGACGAGAGGTGGGTGTCCAAGTCGCTGCACTGCCTTTCACTTGCCGACTAATCGAGAACCAGATCAAAAACATCGCAGCGATTGCACACGCGCTCGCGGAGGCTGACTCAAATCTGGTGAACTACGAGTACTTGAAGTTAGCCGCCGAATCGAATAGGAAATTTTCAAAGGAGTTTGGCAGAGAGAGGCCTGCTGATGGAATGTATGTCTAACAGCATCCCTGGGATAGCCATGTGGATAATCTTGTTTCTCAAGGTTGTGCAGCGGTTGCGCAATTATTGCACTATTTTTGTTGAGTACACCACAGTCCCTTATATTGGTCCTGAAGCCTCAATAGTTGAATCAAGGGTAGTAGAAGTTGCGATCGCGCAGAATTTTGCCACTTTGATCACGCGTGGGAGAACGAAAACTTCGCAAGCAATGGCACAATACTCTGGCGATGGAGGTTTTCGGTTGTCGTAGATCCTGCAAATCTTCTTCGTCGATCTCGGTGTTAGGCTCACAATATTGATATAACAACGTGGTTGGATCCTCATATGGAACATGGAGGAGCACTCGAGCAAGTCCATTCATCAAAATAGCATCCGCACGCCCTTCTTCAATCATAACATCAAATGCCTGCACTATAGCTGAGGCAACCAGCCGCTCCGCATTATATCTAAGTTTCTCCACAGGGTCCGTAGGTACTGTGTTGCATTTGACCATCTCTTCCCACAATTCCATGGGTCGCAGTCCCGCCCGGAGGGTCTCCGCAGAGAGTTTATGCGGTGGTTTATATTCAACGGTAAGGAGGAGGGAATTGGTGCTGCCGTCCACACGGTGAATTCCAAATTGGTCGGGCAGCGGACGGCGTGCAATATGAGGATGATTTGCGTCTAATTCAGCCTGGCTTTCGGTCAACGCATTGGTGTGATTGTCGAACCAAATACCATCGCCAAGCATAGACTCCTCTCGACAGCCGGGATCTTGCACAGCTCTGAAATGATATCACGCACATGATCTTCCACGGCAATCCGCTCATATGTCTCGATGCCCTGTTTACTGCTGATAGGTCGAAGAGCGAAATGCCTAGCAAGCTCTTCAAGTGCAATCAAGGGAGGAAAGAGTTGTGCTCGGGATGCATCAGTACATTGTAGGTAGGTGCATACCCTGTCGTAGATGGCTTGCTGTTAACGGACACAATCCTTCCATGGGCGCAGTCGTGTCGGGCAATGTTTGCCCTTAGAGGAGGGGTATCGTGCCGGTGGTCGAGCGAGACGGCGTTGCGACTTTCAAAGGTCGGGAGAGGAGGTTGTGGCAGAGGTGTAGGAATTCCAAGAACGTCGTCCGACGGGCGCGTTCTTCGATCTGTTGCCGCCTCTCTCTCTCGCGCCGTCCATCGTCTTCTGCGAGCTTCCTTCTCTCTTCTTCCTGCTTCAGCCTCTCCTCTGCCTGCAGAAAGAGATTTTGTAGTCTGGGGAGCTGTTGCCTCCCGTCAAGTGTTGGAAAGGGACGCTTCGTGACGACAACTGACAAATGCGGACAGGCGATCTCCAGGGGGGTCAGCTGATCACGGCTCCCGGAACAGGTATTCTTCCGGAGAATGGTTGAATCATGTCCATTCAAACAACCACCCTCAGAGCGAATTTTTGAAATACCTCTCCAAATCGCGACATAATCGACCTGAAACCGGGTTCAATCTATCATCCAAGCCTTCTGGGTCAATACCCAGAAGTCATGGCTGGTGGGTCCAGTTGGCCGGTTTTGGGGATCCTGCCCCTGAACCATATTGAGCACGCCACGCACGAGGCAACAGCACTGCTTGAACTTGACAGGTACTAGACCAAAGGGTACGCTGAAGTGTGGGGTACGCTGAAGCGCCACTACCCGACACTTCAACGCTTCAGCGTTTCAACCCTCAATCGCCGCAAAGACACCTTACCAACCCGAAACCATACGATAGATGAAAATGAGTAGTTTGAAGATGATAAAGGAAACAAAATCTTACACTTGGAGATTTGAACTGATGTTGCTCGGGAGTGTAGAAGATAGAGAGGACGCTCTTGACAAGGTTTCAATGTTCACTGCTCTGGTGCCTCCGCTGCTGAAGCCGCTGACGGGGGCGGATCAGGGCACTCAAACGCCTTCGGTCATTTATAATGCCATAACAGAAGTGGCTCGGGCATTTTGTAACGGCGGCAGCAAGGTGGCATTCTAGCATGGCAAGTCCATTCCACCAAACATGTGTACTCTTACGATAGCGTCGGATCATAGTTGCGAGATTCTCTCGCGAGAATTACGAGATGTTGCGGTCGACCACATACATTATATGTAATATGCGACATATCAAGTACAGTAAATTCCTTAGCAATGCCCATATAGCTCTATAAAGAAAGATGCTAAAATTCATCATTTCATCCTTCAAAACCTGTGCTTGCTAGCGACATAAAGATCGCCCGGCCTGAGAAGCTCATAGATACTTGCCTTCCAGCCTTTGGGGTCTCTGGACCCGTAACAAGGAAATCGGCGCGACTGGCGGTGGGCCTCCAACCATCTCACTCCAAGGGAAGAACCGCTACTGTTTTTGACACCCGTTGATTTTTTTCCTCCAGAACATTTTACTGTACTGTAACTTCGTTCAGAATCCCAGAATGTACGGAGTCCAGAATTAGGGGAGCCGCAAGAACAACGAGCGAATGCAAGCGGTCAGTCAGCAACGCTAAGCTGCTGAACCCGAGATAACTAACTCTTGAGAGTTGTCCATTGTTCCACCAAATCTAGCGGAAAGCAGCCTTGGTTTGTTATGCCCTTCATTGAATCATGGCTCGAGCATTTTGAGCAGTGATTATATTTCAGTATGTTTACTCTGCTATTCAAGGTCCAATGCGTTGGTCTGTTTAAACTCGAGAAGGCAAGAATGGGTGGGAGAGGGCAATTCTTGCAGACAGAGAGACATTAGCTGCCCAACTTTCTCCCACCAGGAGGTGGGAGTCCAGTTCACAGAATTTTGAGAAAGTGAAAGTCTCGGAAAGTGGGCGATGGCTTTGACCCTGACGGGAGTGGGCCCAATAAGTCAACTCTTGTGAGGCACGGCACAGCGATTGAATTAGCTAGAGTTCGTACAGCGCGACCTTGTGTTCAACACGTCCTCTTGCAAGATTTGCACAGTTTTGAGGGTCCTCAAGATCTTCCGTTCCTTGAACAGAGGTCAAACAAGCTTTCAAAGACGTCCAGCATTTGAAAGAAAAAAGAACAGGGCAGAAATCACGGCTTTCTCTGAAGCCACAGATTGTGAAATGTGGGCTCAGAGAACATGAGGAAGGGGTCATCCTTGGACGGCCAGACCTGCATGTTCATCTCTTTGAGCTTTGGGCAGTGGACGAGGATGACGGCGACGAGCGGGCACTGGTATCCAGCCTCGGGGTCGCTCTTGAAGAGCAGCCTGTCTGCGCGCTGGTCCATGCCCTCGCCGAGAGGGAAAGATTTAAGGCCCTCCAAAAAACAAAAAAAAAAACCGCAAGACTTCAAGAGAGTGTCGAACACAGTTGAACCACAGGAACACCCACATGATCACGTGGCGTAGAGTTGAGCTAACTCAAGCGCCATGCCCGTCAAGGTCAGAGCTGTCGCCCATCTTCTAAGAGACCTTTTCTTTCTCTTCCAGACAGTTTGGCCTTCCTGTACCAAACGAACGTTGGAGATTCTTTAAAGGGGTGTGACAGTATTGACTTCAGACTGATTAAAAATCGCATCCGGTTTCTCATGGAATAAATTCCGTACACGAAGTTCTATACTAGACTGTTCCTCTATCCTAGCATCGATTTACAATAAAGCCCACTTGATCATCCCGCGATCACGTAGATCGCCCTGGCAAACAGATTTATCTTGCCACTCTTGCCCAAACCCACTTCTCGTGGCCTGGAATGCGGCCAATGAATTCGATTTCCCACCGCGGGCATCTTACGAGACATCTCAGCTTTCTCTCTTCAAGGTTCGTATTTCGCCGCCAGCTCTTGCCAGGTTACCCTTAATGGTACAGGGTAGTAAACTGCCTAAACACCATTAGCAAAGCAAGGCAGCTTTAAGTATAATACTTACCAAGTCTTTGTTCATGGAAAAAAAACTTTAGTCTACGGGACCTAAGGCGAAAAATCTTGGGTGTTTGTCAGTTATAGAGCCTTTTTTTCAATCCTAGTTATATTAAATAATACAAGGGCCGTAATTGATGGCACTCATCAGGGTCATGACACTTACTAGGGTCGTGACTCTCACTAGGGCCGTGACTCTCACTAGGGCCGTGACNGGTAGTAGTTGCCAGGAGACTGGTCAAGCTCTATCATCACAGAGTATCGTTGGCCGAGGGCGATTTCAAGAACCTGTCCACGTTAGAGGAAGGTAGGTTGATAACCATGGAAAGAGGAGATCTTACCTTAACCTCCTGCGGGGTCACATAGAGTCCGTCCGCGGCATAGACATGCATTGAATGACTGTCAAGTGAAACCTTAAGGTTGCTAACAGCTCCAGAATTCACAAGGTTGAGGGCAAGCCATCCTTGAGATGCATTTGCGTTGACTACTAACTGTTGTGATGTTGTGTTCACACATGTTTCTGCTGGCAGAAAGCTGATATCGTATCCCGGTCTGAACATCATAGGTGGCATGCAGCCTCGAGGTCCCAATCTCATTGACTCGCCCATGGTCTCTGGGCTGGGCATGGGCATCCCACCCGTTGTGGATATGGTTAACTCTGACGGGTTGGTTGTGCTCATCGGAGGCATGGACATCTGGTCGTGGGGGTTATCTCCGACCGATTCCATTCTTCTTGCCATCGGTGGCATTTGCATTACGGAAGTGGTCATTGTCGCACTATTGTCGTGATGGGTGGCATCGACTTCGTCCGTCAGGCCTAACCCCGGGCCTGCATCGAGCATATACCTTGGCAGGCATTCTACCCTGCCCAGACCATTGGCTAGAATACTGTCAATGCAGCTGGGGAAGGCACCTGTTTCGAGGTACCGGCTAAAGATTGTGTCTGACAGATCGTGTGTCCAGTCGTTCAGGAGGATAGATACCGCATCTCTCTCAGCCTGTAGCAGCTGTTCACGCTCAACCGTGCTTGCAGCCATGTCTTCAAACGGTCGGCGACGAGAGGGTGCTGGCCGGATCATGAGGGGCCCCCGTATAGCATCGTTGTAGTATGCGCGGAAATGAGAATGATACCAGTAAAACCCGTATTCGTCTTCCACGGAAAATCGGTATGTAAAATTCCCTCCCGGGGGTATTTGGTACTAGAGCCAAGTTAGCAACCACTTCTTTTAGCGCTTGAAGGGCGGCACAGGCACCTGGGTTACTCCTGGGACCCCATCCATGTCCGGTGTTCCACGCTGTAGTATCCCTGAATTCATGTGCTTAGTTGAGCCGCAACGTATACTTTGACGATAACATACCATGCCAATGGATAGTAGTGCTAACTGGCAACTCATTACGAACGAACACCTCCACATCATCCCCTTCGTCAACTTCAATCATTGGACCGGGCTGCTGTCCATTGATCAGGTAGACTTCACGGGAGTACCCATCTATCAGCAACTAGGGTTAGCTGTCTTGTGACGAAGGCAAGGAATCAATCCGCAAACCTGGGCTGCGCTGGGCGGTATGAACGGTGAAGTTGAACGTTCGTAGGGAACCGAGAGCGCCTTGCACTGCAAAAAGAGCGCATATTGCACGAAGCTGGAACGCAAAGCCTGGCATTTGATGGAAGAAGGTAATCATGAAGAGTTCGATGTTTCTGAGGGTGATCAAATGTCCTTGCAGTAGTAGGAAGCAAAGGGAGACGATTATACTCCTGGAAGGCTCAAGGAAATTCCATGCGGTGTTTTCGCGGATTTTAGCGCTCCTCGGCAAAGTTTGAAATATGGAGACCAGCCATCCAATTGATAGTGGTGGTCCCTCGAGCTCTTTTATCGATCACTCAAAAGGCCATGAAGGTACGGAGTAGTACGGGAGTTTTTGCGAAGACATGAGATTCTATCACGCGGTTTCAAGTTCCTTCGCAGGATATATATTCGAGACGGTATGAAAGGCTTCCATGTGTTTTGAAGTCTCTCGGCCGGTATAACAGTAGCTGTCCATTCGGCTGGCGACAAAAATCCGACGATTTGTTATCATTAGTGACGAAAGTGTGGAAATATGACTTTCACTGTTTGACTTCGTGCTGCA